GAGGCTAAAAGATGTTGGATGTCGTAAATCAGATGACTGTAGGAACCATGTAATTTGGGTGTGATAATCTTTCCTCTCCTCTCCCCCTTTCTTCCCCCACACTGCTGACTGTGCAGGAGGCCAGGGGCTGCAGCCCCAGCCCAAGACGGTTCCCTGGCTGCTCCCTCACACTAAGGGGCTGAATGCATTTCTCTAGGACCGTGCCCTCTCTCACTGATGCACACTGGTGGCCCATGTGCTGACCCTCTGCAGTACCAGGTGAGCCCTCAAAGGACAGCAGCGCTTCCTAGGAGAGGCCACGGGAGCCAGCGCGGGAACATGTGTTGCATTGCAAGCAGTAGCAGGGGCCCAGCTCTGGACAGGTTTGGCTGGAGTATCACTGCCCACGAAGCCCATGGAGCCAGCCACGAGCAGAGGTAGTCTGAAGTCAGCCTAATGCTGTTCAAACTATAGCAAGCTCAGACCTGCTTGAAGAGCTAGGGAACACGCTCTAGGGGATATAGCTACTGCCACTTAAGACAGTTTACCCAAGATGGTGCAGCTCTCTCTTTCTTCCCCGTGCTATGCAGGGAGCAGATACAAAGGTAGGGAATACCTTCGCCATGGCCAGCAGTGCCCATCAGCTCACTGAACTGCAGAAGCTAAACCACAACATATCACCCCATCTGATACCCGGTGACTACATGCAGGGGGATAGAAAATACTAAACTCCTGGTGACAAATGCACCAGACCCTGTTTGTCAGCACTGGAAGTACCATAACAGAGATTTACAGAACTGCCAACTTATTGCTAGCTTTGCACAGGGTCAACAGGCTGCACCCCATAGCCTGACACGCACAGAGAAGTCAGAGTACCAGATTTCATCAAACAAGGCAGAGGTATCCTGTCCCAACCAGAGAGTTTTAATGGGAAACAATCCCTCTGCCAACAAACCCACAGAACATCTACACACTTCGCTATGCAACTTAGTAATATTGGACGAGGGGCACTAGTTACATGTATTTTGATGATAAAGACTATTTTTGTCCTGCTGCTCTTGCATGAAACAGAAAAAAAAAGCTGGTTCAGGGTAACAGACGCCCTTAGTTTGCAGTTTCTGCTCTTTCATGTTTGATGGATCTACTGCCAGTTCAGCTGGGGAAGAGTTCATCCATGCTATCCGAATATGGCTTATCAGCTTTGTGTCTTTGTGGAAGCCTTGTGCTGAGTGCATGACATCTCTGGACGCCTGCAAAGTCATCCTATCTCTAAGCTAAGATTAGAATTTCAAACAAAACTTATTACAAAGCAGGATTTTCTGAAAGGGCTGGACACAACTATAATGTGGAAATTTCAGATTCATGTGTAAGCACATTATTTAATCCTTTTTTAGATAGGCATAATTGGAAAGTGAATATCAGTAACTCTTGTGGGTGGAGGGGAAATGAAACAGCAAGAAGAGAGATGCATGATGGGCCGTAATAAAACTGGACCCAAACCTGCCATCAATTCTGATCATTTTTTGCCTGAAAAGGCTGTGTTTGCAGCACTCAGACACTATGTTCCTTATAAAAAGGGTTAGGAGTCATTTTGGGAGATTTTCCCAGCTATTACTTAAATCTCAGACTTAAATGTTCATGTGGCAACCAAGCAAGTATTTAAAAGGGCAAAGGGGAACATTTTTCGTAGCTGTCATTCTCCAGAGCGTATTCATACACTGTAACTTGGGGAAGTGGATGCTGTGCTCAAAGTCATGTCTCATAATGTTTAACCAGGAAGAGGGAATAGTTCTGGTGCTCCTGATCTTCACATCCCGGCAGTCGTGGCCCAGCAGACTTCCTTGAAGCTAATCTCAAGTGTAAGAGAGGAGGAAGGCATCCCCTCCTGTGAGGGGGAAGCTCTTTCAGTATAGAACAGGTGGAGATGGAAAGACGGGATTTTACGAGTACTTTTCTTCCGATGTATGATGACGGGGAAAACGATCAACAACTTTTATTTAGTCACACTGGGGTTGTGCCAAGATTATTTGTGTGTGTTTGGTGGGACCCCTTCCTATCTCAGCTACAAAAAATCAGGCCTCTGCACGGTGCTCAATTAAGGGGGAGGAAACCTCCAGCAAGTTAGCGGGGAACAAGTGGTGCTGAGAGGTCGTAGGGGTCTCTGACAGTACCAGCGCTGGCGTCAGTTTCTGTTCCACCTGACCAGCTTGAGGAAGGTCCATCCTTGCTCCCACCTGCCCTCGAAGATGATTTTGGTCCATTTTGCCAAACTAGCTGCTAATCCACGCGCTAACTTTGTGTCACACAGTCCCAGTCACTGCCAGCAGAGACAGGGCAAGGAGCATGCCAGCAGCTGAGGGGCCTTGGCAGAGTGAGAAGGGGCTGAGGCTGAACACAATCACAGTGGTGGGTTATGCTCTAAGGTGGCAAGTAAATAAAAGTGACATCTCTTCGTGGTTCTGTGTCCCTGTTTATAAAGCTGTGGATTTCAATAATAACTTCAGAGGAAACTGTGCCATTGGGCATGTGACATGAGTAAATTTGTGTCAGAAGCAAAAGAATATAATTCAAGGATCTTATGAAGAAGGAGGGGGGTTTCTATGCAGTTCCCAGACATTTCTTTATTTTGTTGAGATGCAGCTAGCAGCCATACTGGGGAACATCAATCTTGTTTCTAGCCCTAGCATGGAACAAATACTTCATAGGAGCTAAAAGGAAGAAAGGAGGGGGAAAAGGGGGAGGAAAAGGAGAAGGAAAAGGAAAAAAGGAAAAGGAACTTTTTTGCATGTGTATTATACCCGTTATTTTGAATAGTTACACCCAAGTGAGCTGCCCTTTTGGAGGCTGCATTAAACAGATGAGTCAGCCCCCCAAGACCAGTCTCTGCCACCTCATTTGTAGCAGAGTAACATCCTGAGTTCTCTGAGCCCAGACGACATAGTGCCATAGCTGGCACCAGCGACGCTTATCCTGCAGATACCCACCCAAGTGACTTTATGTATTTTACTGGGAGTCTGGTTAGAACCTAAAGATAATTGTTTTAGATCCTGATTTTTCAGGCTGGAGCTGGTCATCTGCCTGAGGTTAATTTCATACACAAATGTTTAGCTAATTGCCTAATACAGCTGGGGCTTTGAGCCTGTGTCTTTTCTGACTACTGGACATCTGGTATTAGAAAAGGATAGTGCTAGAAAAATTTCCAGGAATCACTCATCTATTTAAAGTTGAGCACATGCATGTGTTCGACAGGGTGGATATCTTCAAGCTGAGGATTACACTGCCTGTCAAATGCACCTTCTCAATTTTTCCAAGCCTGAATACACTTAAAACCTTCCTGACTGCAGCAGACCTGCCAAGCGTTTCTTTCTTTCTCCTGTTTACAGAGAGAAGTAAGGTATTAAGTCCTGTATAAATTTTATACTGTATCGGTCATTCACTTGCATGATACACTGAAAACTTTAGAAACCTCACTACTGTACACACACATATTCCTTGGGCATGGAGGAGTTAAGCTGACACACTGAAATCTCTGCACTTTGCTTCATTAAAATGTAAATTTAGATCTTTTCATGAAGTTGATGTACTGTTTATTCTTCCTACTACAAACCCTAAGACTTCGGAAAAAAAGCTGCAATTTCCAAGAATGCAAGTTTCCATTAAACACAAGAGCCAAAACTGTAAACCTTGACCTGTGGGAAAAAGAACGAACTTCTGCAATTCCACTGTTTGTTTTTTGCCATCGTGCGTAATTTCTCCTGTACCCATCCCATATACAAATACCCATCTGCCAATGCCCGTTACACCAGCTAGACATTATAACGGGCCTGACTCTGTGCCCAACAAGAACTGTGAACCATAAAAAGCGATGTCTTTTTTTATTCTTTTTCTTGCAGAAACAGGTAATTAAGTTTGTCAAAAGCAGCAAAGGCCATGAGATTCTGGCTTTGGTCCTCCAAACACTTACGCACATGCTTCGCTTTCTGCCTGTAAGCCGTCTCAGCGAGATTCGAGGCAAGATAAAGTTAAAAAAGGCACAGCTCTTGGCTTACCAGAGGAAGCAAGCAAGCCTGCCGCTGCCCTGCTGCGGCCGGGGGTTGGCTTTGCGCATCCAGAG